ATAATAGCAGCTAATTCCCAGGGTTGTGAGGACCAAATGAGAAAATATTTGTAAAAGTGCTTAACACAGTGCCTGGCACACAGTAGGTACCGTATAAATGCTTATCCCCTCCTCCCCTATTAATAAGTTCTCTATCACTTTAAGGTTTGCAAATTAGTTTCCTTACCACAACCCTATGAAGCAGATAATTCAGATACGATCTGCATTTTACAAATAAGGAGACTGAGGTTCAGAGTTGCTACAGCCATGCAGCTCATACCAGAATCAGGATTCCAACCCAGATTTCCTGACTCTAAATGTAACATGCTTTTCCTCTTTGAGAGCCAGCAGGGCATAGTGGAAAAGGTGCTGGACTTTGGAAATCTCCTTGACTTCTGATATTTACCACGTAACCCTAAGCAAGGAACCTAACTTCTTTGGGCCTCAGGTTTCCATCTCTGTAAAACAAGGGAAATGGACTAGATGTCCTTTGAGGGCTCTTCCAGCTCTGATGATATTATTCTGTGATCCTGTGCTTGTAACACCAAGGAGGGAAGGTCTGTGGCCCCCACTGACAGGCAGCGTTAAGCAGAAGATAGGTGCTTTGGTTCTGGTGCAGTATAACGTGTGTGTGTGTGTGTGTGTGTGTGTGTGTGTGTGTGTTGTGTGTGTGTGTGGAGGGGGTACCTATGACTAGCTAGTAAGGCCTGTGTTACACACTGTGGTAAAGGACACGAATTGCCCAGATACCTGAGAAAACACTATGCTAGGTCCCTCAGAAGGTTCCAGTTTTCTTCTTATGAATGACCATGTCACTCCTCTATTAAAAAGTCTTCAGTAGCTCTCTATTGCTTCTAGGAAAAAGGAACCTCCTCAGCCCAGCACTTACAGCCTTCCACAGACTTCCAAACTTATTTCACATCATTACCCTTCAGGTACTCTACAGTACAGCCACACTGGCCTCCATTTGGCTGCCAAAGTGATTTACCTAAAGCGCAGGCAACGACCACGTCACCCTCCTAGCTCAGAAAACTTCAGTAGCTCTGTACCATCTCCAGATCAAATACACAATCCGCAATTAGCCTCTCAAGGCTTTTCATAACCTGCCCCCCCTCTTATAGTGTTCTTAACCTTCACACCATCCTGCCCCCCTCCCTCTCCTCAATCCAGCGACAGGATCTTCCATCTCTTGGCTCCAGATGGTTTCTGACCTTCTCCCATACCTGGAAGATGCTCCCTTCTCATCTCTGCCTCTTGGCTTCCTCAAAGTTCCAACTAAAATGCCACATTCTACAGGAAGCCTGTCCCAATGCTCTTAATTCCAGCGCCTCATCTCCGTTACTGATCTCCTATTTATCTTGTGCATAGCTTGTTTGTACATAACTTCTTTGCTTGTTGTCTCCACTTCGTGGCCCCACCCCCACCTCCGCCGTCCCATTTCCCCCTTCTCCCCACCTTGTTGGCTGTGAGCTTGGTCTTTTCCCTCTTTGTATTCCCGAATTTAGCACCGTGCCTGGCACACAGTGGTCATTTAACAAATGCTTATTGACTGTAAGGTGCTTTCTGAATTCAGCAGTGTCTGTGCTTTCCCCTTTGTTTAGATCAGGGGTGGGGAACCTGGGGCCACAAGACTACATGTGGCCTTCTAGGTCCTCAGGTGTGGCCCTCTGAATGAATCCAAACTTCACAGAACAAATCTCCTCAATAAAACTTTGTTCTGTAAAACTTTGGGTGAAATGGCCGCACCTGATGACCTAGAAGGCCACGTGGGCCTCGAGGCCATAGGTTCCCCGCCCGGGTTTGGACTATCCCCCATCCCTAGAATGCCCTCCCACTTCACCTCAGGCTTTTAGAATCCTTTTCTTTCAGGGCTCTGCTCAGGAAAACCTATCTCTGTCAAGTCTCTCCTGACCCTCCCAGTTTCCTTCCTCAAAGCTGGCTCTCTCCACTCCAGCACATAGCACGCATCTACTACAGGTCTGCTGAATTCATGTTGAATGTAATGTATACTTTGAAGCACAAAAGCTGTTAACAAACAGAAGACAGGCAGTGTGGCAAACCGGACAGAGCTGGCCTTGAAGCCAGCCAGGGAGACTGGTTGAAATTCAACCTCAAATACATCGTGTCTGCACCCTGGGCATCTCTCAGTGCTCTAGACAACTTTCTCAGACGAGAAACTTCAGAGGAAACGCTGACTGGCAGTGGGAGGGGGAATCTCCACTATTTCCTAGGAGTTCCGTATATAAAGGAGAAACAATACAATGCAAAATGGCCCTTTTCTAGATTCTTTCCTCAGATATCACCCCTCCCTCCCACTTACCATGTGATACACCAGGGGTCCTCTCCAGTAGCACTTCAGCAGCCCGGCCTCGGTGCGTGAGAGGCTCGTGAGTTCCCAGGATCACACAATGGCAAAGCTGGAAGGAGCCTCGGGAGCAATTACGTCCAACTCTGTCATTTTACAGAAGAGGAAACTGAGGCTCGGAGAAGAAGAAAAGATTTGCCTGGAGGCACATGGCTAGTCAGGAGAGGTAGGACTAGAATCCAGGTGTCCCGTCTCCACACAAGTGTTCTATAATTCATTCCACTAAGAGAGGGTCAGGGCGTTTGGTTAATGCTTTAACCCAATGTTGGTGTGGACAGAACTGAGAAGTGTAGATTTGGAAAGGGCAACAGGTCACCTAGTACGATTCCCTTCAAGCCCTTTCCACAACAGGGCTTCTGATTCCTCTTTAAAGACAGATTCTCCTTCCTGGGAAACATACAGGTGCCACATAAAGATATGATGAGTTAAAGCCCATTTTCTACTTCTACTCCTGGGCCTCTGCCTGGGTACCCCTCCCTAATTTCCTGTTCTTTACTGGTTCAAGAGCTTTTAAGAAATCTTCACCAGCTGCACTCTCCTCAGGAACTGAGTGAACAGAGATCAAATTCAGAGCTGGAAGACACCTGCAGAGGCCATCTGGTCCAACCCCTTCCTTTTGAAGATAAGGAAACTGAGGCCCAGAATGGTAAAATTACTTGCCCGAGGTCACAAGGGGATGAACAGGATTCAAAACCAGATTATCTGATTCCAGACATTCTAGTGCCAGGTCCTGAACTCGAATCACTGTCATTGAACTTACTTTGGGAGGAAGGAGAAGTTTCCATGTTCCTCATGCTCCCCCAGAGAAACAATGAAGCCCAAGCAGCCAATTACCCAAGCCTGGGAACCTAGCTGAATCACCTGGAGCCAGAGGACCACCAGAATTAAATGTTGACCAGTGAGTGACCTCTGGTCTAGGGCAGCCTGGGTCTTGGACGGGGTGAGCCTGTGGTACAGCAATCAGTGAACCTCTCTCCTATCTCCACTCCTCAGATATCAACCCTCCCCTCACACTATGGATTTCACAAGGAGCACTGAGAGAAGGGGAAAGATCACCATTTGCTTGGTTAGGCTGGTATAGACACCTTGCTATTCCAACTCCTCTGTGTATTCCACAGAATCACAGTCCTGGAAGGAATTTCCAAGGTTATCTAGTCCACCCCCTTCTCATTCTTAGATTGAGAAACTGCAGCCCAGAAAAGGGAAGGGATTTGTCCGAGGTCCCACAGCTAGCAAGGTAGTTTGTTTCTCTCTGGGCCTATATATACTTCATGGGTATATATGAGTTGGACTGGAAAAATTCTAAGGTCTTTCTAGCTTTCACCACCTACAGCTCCCGGCAGTAATTTCCAAGTCTAGAGCTACTTCAACTCCACCACACTATACTCTCTGCCCCATTCCCTTGTTGGCTTCTGTAAAGCGGACGACATTCACACATACAAATGAAAATAAACACGTATGCCAAGGTGAACTGACATTCATGCTTGGTAATGTCCTGTAATATCATTCCTAAATGTCGAGGGCCTGAGAGCTGAGCACAGGCAATAAAAAAAAAAATGGCCTTGGCCTCACTGAAGATGTGTGTTAGTCCTGAAAACCGTCATTGGAGAACAATGGTAAAATGGCCCAGCAGAGGGACTGTGCAGCCAGCGGTCCAGGGATGGAGGAAAGGAGCCAAGCAGAGCATTAACAAAAGAGAAGTGTTTTAATGAAGAAGAATCACAGAAGCCCAGAGTTGGAAGGGCAGAGTCAAATCACCTGTCCGATGCATCAATACCCTCACACAGCACATATCCCTCGTTAAGTCCAGCTCATACTCTTAAGATCTTTGGTGACAGAGAACTAGCTACCAAAGCAGCCCATCTCACTGCTGGTACTGCTCTAATGGTTTAGCAAACCTCCTTAGAGCCCCAAACTGCTTCCTCGTATACTGGCCCCCACCCCACTCCCTAGCATTGCTCCTAATTGTGTCCTCTAAGGCCAAGTAGTACAAATCTTTCAAATGACAGCCTTTCTGGTATTTGAAGACACCTATCGTGTTCTTCCTAAGTCTTCAGCCTGGACGTCCCCAGTTCTTCCAAAGGATGTCTGTGAGGCAGTTTCTAGCTCTCTCCATCCTTATCCTCATTTGGACATAGTGCAGTTTGTCAGTGTTCTTTCTAAAATGTGGTTCCAGTCCTGGGCACAATAAGCAGGTGTGACCCGACCAGGGCAGAGAACAACGTGGACATAACCTCTCTTCCTCTAGATGCTGTGTCTCTACTATATCTATCTATAGCCTAAAGTCATAACATTTTGGGCAGCCATGTCACATTATTAACGATACTGGGCTGGTGATCCCCTCCAACACTTGGGTTTTTCACATCAATCACATCTCCTCAATCCTGTACTCACTGGATCATAGGATTTAGAGCTGGCAAGGGACCTTAGAGACCTCATGCAACTAGTTTTTTGTACCCAATTTCAGGACTTTAAACCTATCCCTATTCAATTCCATTCTGTTATACAGGTCCACCATTCCAGCTTGCTGAGATCTTTTAGGAAACCAGATTCTTCTGTCTAGCATTAATAATTCTCTCCCAGCTCTGAACAATTTGATAAGCAGCTCTCTGCTTTAATGCCAATGGTATAAAAGATGGTTCTGAAGACAAATGCGTCGTCCAATCTGCCTGAGCATTCAGGATCCAAACTCTTTATTATCAGGGTCATCGTGAAGTTCCCTCCTTGTGGATTGCCCTCCCCATACCCCTAGAAAATCCCAAAGCCCTGCAGTGTCCTGGTCCAGGATATAATACAACTTCTGTGCTCGGCCCAGCCAGTCCCAGGCAGGAAGGAAGGCAGTTAGTTGGGGGACTTGGGGTGGGTGGATAGGGAGAGATTTCCTGCTGTCTGCTCCAGCAGGAAGGTGCCCAGGTGAGTTGTCGAGGGTACCAGGTCCATCTGGAGAAGGGGCTGGCTGGATCTGGCACTGATGGGTGACAGGTGGGTAGAAGCCGTCGGACCCATAGTTCTCCTCTGCTGCCCAGCTGGGGATGATGGCACCTGGGGGGTGGGGGGTGATGGGTGGTGCCTGGCTCAGGGGGCCAGGGTCAGGGTTTGCCCTCATACCGTCCTCCTCGGGTCAGCCTGCAGTCCCTCCTATCCCGCTGTTAGAATGGAAGATAAGGAAGAAACACTGGTTTGAAGTACAACAGAGCAGTGTGCTTGGAGGATATGAATGCTTCAGGTCCTGCTGAGGGTTTGTCGTTGATTGTGGAGAGGAAAACATAAGTGAACCAGGGAGCACCAGGGAGTCTGCATCTCAATGAGAGGCACACTGAGAAGCCTTGGACATGGGTACCTGGAGAACTGGTGCTAGGTCTCAGTTCTGGTTCAAGTCACTCTGAGCCTCAGTCTTCTACTTTGTAAAGTGGAGATAATAACCCTTGGACTACCTGTCTCACAAGATAGTTGTGAGGAAAACAGCTTGTAAACCCTCAAATATTACAGGAAATCAGTACAGCAGGGAAAGTCCTGGATTTGCAATGAGGAGAGAGCTGGAATCAAACCCTATCTCTGATACTCACTGAACTAAGGGTAACCACGTCATGTCTTGGCTTAATTTGTTAACACTCGAAGTGCCTACCTTAGGAGACTGTTGTGAGGATCAAGTGAGGTGTGGGTAAGGAGCTCTGAAACACTTAGAAAGCTGTATTAAACGTCAGCTATTATTACTAAACAAAGGGGGTTGGGGCTTATTTTCTCTTTTCCTACATAGTTTGCTACAATCAAGGGAAAGTGAGATGCCAGGGCCAGCTGAGATAGGACATAGGTATCCCCCAAGCAGAGTCAGGAAGACGAGTTCAAATCCAGCCTCAGACACTTACTGGCTATATGCACCCCCAGCAAGTCATTTAACTTTGCTCGATCTCAGTTTCTTCATCAGAAAGAAAAAAAAAACCCAAAAGATAAAAATAGCCCCACGGGGTTGTTGTCAGGATCAAATGAGAGAATATATGTCAGGCACTTTTATAAACGATAGCAATTATTTATTAATAATAATAATGGTGACCTAGTGGCACAGCTGAGCACTGGGGAGGGAGCACTGACAATAAGGCATGAGGCAGTGGGCAGAGCTGAACTTGGACACAGGAAGAGCTGGGGTCAAATCCTGCTGGGGACACGTACTGTGTGACTTAGCCCCTCTGGGCTCATTCCATCCTATGTAAAAAGCTCTCTGGATTTATGATCCCTTCCTGTCCGGTAGGCCAGAGATAGAGGGGGAAATCTCTCCATCAGCTTTAAGATGAGATTTATGGGCTTCTCCTGGTGCAATTTAATGCTTCTTTAGTTGGATGCGAGATGCTGAGGACATTTCATCCTTGGGAAAAGAATCCTGGGTTGCCTAGGGAAGGATGGGTAGTGGGTGGGGAGGGTTAATGTCTTGGGGAAGGGAAAAGGGCATTCTTGGTGGCTTAAGAGGTCCTGGACACCATTTCAGGCCTGTGGAACAAGGTCAGGTTAGGGAGTATGGGGGAGGCCAGGCCCCAACCCACCGATAACCACTCATTTAACCCACCTTAACAGTCATTCTAGGAAGCTCGTGACTAGGGAAAACAAGGAGGAAGCTCTCGTTACTATTCCCTGGTCAGTGCTGGGAAAACTGACCTCAGCCTAGAGGTCCTTTGATGGGACCCAATAAAACCTCCAGGAACCCAAAGTCCAGCCCACCCACCCCTCCTCCCGATCCTCAGCCCCACCAAGGCCTCATACCATTTACTGTAGAGTCAATTCATCCAGCTCTGTGTATCGGCTGTTGTCCTGAGAGAGAAAGAAGGGGGGACAATGGAGGGAGGGAGATAACAAGTTAACACATACGAAGTGCTGTGTTCAGTTCTGGGTTTATATTTTTGTGAGAGTCACTGATAAGGTGGAACACCCAGAAGAGAGCAACCAGGATAAAACGGTGGAGGACCACTGAGTCACTGAAGTCCTCAAGGATCTGAAGAGCTATCACCAAGAAGGGTTAATTTGCACTTCAAAAGGCAAAAACAGGATTACAGGGGGTGGGGTAGGTAGAAGGGATGTGGGATTGTGGCTCGATATATAAAACAATTGGAGCTTTCCAACAATGTGATGGACTGCCTTGAAAGATATGGAGCTCCTCAATATTATCAATAATCAGTGATACAAATTAAAACACTTCATTTGTTTTTACCAGACTTCATACCCACCAAACTAGAAAAATTAATTCAAAGCAAGGAAACCTAATGCTAGTAGGGTTATGGAATAAAAAAGTATCCTCCCCTCATTCACTGCTGGTGGAAACGCAGACAATGCAGAAGCTTTTCTGAGTGCCATTTAGTAGTATAAAAGTTGTAAAATCCCACTATTGGGAATATATCCTATGAGTGTTATCAAAAATAAAAAGGCTATATGTTTAAAGATGTTCACAGTCATAGCAAATGTTAATTGTGAAAAACTGGAAATGACCTAAATGCCCAACAACAAGGGAAGAATTCAGTACGAAATGGTCCATGAATGTAATGGAATACCATGGTGCAGCTGACACAAGTGTGAAGAACTGAGGGAACTCTGGGAAGATCTTTACACAATAATGCAAAGGAAGAAAAATCAGCAGCACCAGGGGAAGGGCACACACAGGAACTTCAACCATCAAAGAGAGAAAGTGAATGAGAATGCGTGGACAAAGAATCTTGATGAGGGAGCAACTGAAAAGTGAGGGTACTTTAGGCGCTGAAATAATTTAAATGTTAACAGTTACTAAGCCAAGTCTAGTTTGTTGTATTAATGTTAAGCTTTTAAGAGAACACAAAAAGGAAGTAAGTAAAAAGGAAAATAAAGAGAAGAGAAAGGAAAGATACTAAGCCTCCTATCACTGGAAGTATCCAAGGAGAGGCTGTAGAATACGGGACAGACTTGAGACCTCTGGAGCCCTTCTAGCTTTGAGAGGCTGTGCTTGGTGAGCAACTCTGGCCTTCTAGCAAAGGAACTACCCGAGGGCAATGCTGTTCTGCTGTTCACATTGGCTGTGGATGGTCAGGCACGAGGAGAGAGGCTTAAATGAAAATAGGAGAAATCAGCGGGACAGAAGAAAAGAGCCCTGACAATGCAATGTCTAGCACAGTGCCTTGAACACAGTAGGTCCTCAATAAACATTTCATAAGACTCTCAGAGCTGGAAGTGGTCTTGAAGACCTTAATCCAACCCAGGTATCCTCTTCACGTCACCGATGGGGCAGGGTGGAGTGTCCATCCGGCCTCTGCCGCACTCACTGATCACACAAAAGCAGCTCATGGCACTGCTGTACATTTGACTGGACACATGGGGGCAGCTTCAGACTCTGACTGAGGAGAAACGGAAAAACCACGGGGTGGTGGGAAGAGGGTCCTGGAGCTGCCTTGTGTAACCTTGGGCAAGTAGATCCCCTTCCTCTCTGACGCTCAGTTTCTTTCTCTGGAAAATGTACGGTTTGGCTTAAGCAATTTCTAAAACCCCTTCCAGCTCTGCTGTTCTAAATAAATACTGCAGCCTCAATCAAGTTCAGAGTTTAAGTTCTGAGGTGCAGGGGCCAAGGAACCGGGGCGGGTGGGAAAGAAGGGTGCTCAAGATCACATGACATACCATTTTGAAAGTGTTCCTCTTAGTAAGAACTGTTTTTAACTTTTGGCACGGCCAGAATTTCACCTTATTACAGCTACTTCTAAGTTCTCTTGTGTTCCTGTAACTCACAGCTTTTCTGAATGAAGTTTAAGTTTCTGTCCTGTTCAATGTTCTATAATAATTTCTAAAAGGAAATTATACTGGAGACTAGACCTTGGAATTAATTTAAACGTAAATCTATACTAAGCAAGTTTCATTGGTTGTCCTGATGTTCAATGTTAAGCTTTTAATAAAAGACAGAAGAAAAGAAGGAAAGGAGATGGCAGCTTCAGGGTCCCTGAGCTCCCCCAAAGCATGACTCAGTTTACACTTCCTTGCCCATGTGTGTGTCTGGGCACATATAGTGTGTAAGTCGGACAGAGAGTCTTTTGGATGGTCTGTCTGTGTCTCTGCCTGACTGGTGGGCTCCATGGCTCTCAAGCCCCCAAGCTGCCATGTCCCCAGTTCCCCCCGCTGAAGAATTTACTTTTTTATTTTGTATATAATTATCTACATACATAGATATGATAAGATGATACACAGCTATGCGATAGCTGGGATTGAGGTTCTTTTGTTTTTTGGGCTGGGAAACAGAGGCAGGGACAAGGGCACAGGCTAGGTCCAGGAGCTGGGAGTTATGGGCAGGGGCAGGCAGAAGGAAGCAGGAACCAGTGGAGGGGCAGGGAGAGGCAGGCTCTGGAGTGAATTGCTTCCCCCCCCCAGCCCCCACATTGGAGCAAACTGAACACTTGAAAGTCACCTGTCCAGGTGGCTCTTACTAGGGCAAAGCTGGGGGACTGAAGGTTGGATGCTCAGGGGCCCAGCTTTTGTCCGCCCTCGACCCTCACCAAATCTTCGAAGTCATCCTGTGCCAGCGCCTCGTCACCGTCATCCCCAGGTAACAACTCTTCCAACGGTGTCTCTGCCTCCGAAGCCGTGTCCTCCTGAGTGGCCTCACTTTTCTTGCTGTCATTTTTCTTCTTGCCATCTTGGGGAGTGGAGAGAAGAGGGGAGAAGCAAAAGCTCAGGGTAGGGTGGACACCCTTAGGGCATCACAAGTTGGATCAAAGGAAAGCCTGGCCCACAGGAAAGCCTTCAGACCTGGTCAGGAAACCCTAACCTTTTCCATCATCACTTTTCTCTCAGAAGTCCCCCTCTCCACTACTGCCAAGCCCAACACCCTGCACACAGCAGGCACTTAGTAAAACTTTGCTGGACTGAAATGAAACCCAACCTCAGAGCCTCACAATTTTAGAACTAAAAGGGTTTAGGAACTGCTTTGAGATATGAAGCCCCTTACCTTGCATGCCCAGAATCATTAGATCATAGACTTAAGAAATGAAAAGATAACCTCAGTCACCTAAGGAGGGAAGTGACTTGCCCAAGGTCACAGATGGAGTAGTAAGTGGTGGAGGTGGAATCTGAATCCAGGCCCTCTGACTCCAAAGCTAAGCATTATGTCTACTGTACCAGGCTGTCTATCTTATCCTCAAACTCCCAGCTTCCCTCCCTTTTCCCCTTCTTCTCGCTTACCCTCTCCACTTCTCTGGGGCTGAGCCAGGGAAAAAGGCCCCGAGAAGCAGGGGTCTAACCTGTGCTAGGACTCTGCTCCTCCGAGATCTGGTCCAGCCGCCCCAGCAGGGCCTCAATGTTGTACTTGATCTGGGTAAGTTCTGTCTTGATGGTCTGCAGTTCAGTACATTTCACTGGAGGTACAAAGGGGATCAATAAGCACAGGGAGGAGGTTATCAGAACTGTTTCACTAACAATTTTTGCAAGTAGAGGTAAGGGGCTCATATAGGTATGGCTTACAGAAGGAAGAAATCCAGCCCAGATCGCTACAAAGTTTCTAAACTGTTCAAGGGGAAGAGCTGAGTCCTGGTATAATACTGCTGCCAGGGGTAAGGTTTGGCAGAGGAGAAAAAGAGCCCCGGGCTGGTGCTGGGCTCTGAATTTCACACCCTGGTTACGGCTCCGGAGGAGTTGGGGGAGAATCTCTACCAGGGCTGGCTGCTAGAACTGGACCAGCCAATCTCCGCTGGCTGACCAGTGCCATGGACTTGCCTTCCCCTTGAGCCCCAGACTAGGTTGTCTTCTATATTTAAGAGACAGGGGGTCAGGAAACTGAGGTAGGGTCCGAGTTCCCAGTGTAGGGCCCAGGGGGCTTCTGGGCATGAAAGAATGGAAACTGCCTCAGCCCTCCGTGGCCTGTCTTAGCTCACCTCACTAAATTTTCCTGGCCTCCAGACCCTCAGTCTATACCTTCTCCTCATGTCCCATCATTACAGCATTTAAGTTATTCTTCATATTTAACCCAATCTCTGACTCATCATAAGCTCACACTTCCACAATGCTTTTAAGTTTGACAAAGTGCCTTCCTCACAACAACCTTGTGAATCAGGAAATGCAGGGAGCAGTACCCCCATTTTGCAGACAGGGAAACTGAGGCCCAGCAGGTGACATGATTCCTCTAAGGTAGAACACCTAGTAGGACCGATGGGACTCAAACTAAGGCTTCCTGCCTCCCTACCTCAGACTTTTCTGACTGTACTACACTCATGCCAATTTTGGGGGGGGGGGCCTTCGATCTCCTCAGCCCCTTTCAGATCTTGTCTCCTCTCTGATGGTCTGTCTCGAGGCTGGTGGAAGTTCCTGTAGGGAAATTTCCTGGGAGTTTTTTGTGCCACGAAGAAAGTCAAGGGAAGTTCCTAAGAGCATTCTAGGAGACAAGCAGGGAAAGGATGCTGAGACGGAGTTCATTGGTGTTGAGGGCTGGGAGGTAAGTTCAGGGATCCCTGGGGCTGGAAACAGGTTTGTGAGGTCTTCAAAGACTTGGAGAGAACTTTAAGGGTCTAACAGCAGTTCCCCACACCATCCCGCCTCAAGCCATGGACACTCACACTTTAACTTTGATGAGCTGCTGGAAGTGGTGGAGCGGGCAAAGAGTCTGACAGGCAGAGTTGCTTTGATGCGACGAACGAGAGGGATGGTGACCCGTGGCCGCTTCACAGGAACCACCCTGGGGACCGGAGAGAGCCGGCCCCGGGGTTCAAAAAGCCTGAATTTCAAAACAGGACAGAGACTTGCAGACTGGGTGTCCCAGGCAGCGTGTCCCCAGGGTCCAATGGCCAAACCAGAGATGGAGGATGTAAGGAGGACTAGAGGGATGGGGAATGGACAGGATATGGATGAGCGAGAGAGGGTGGATGGAGGGAGGGAGAGGATCTCGACATATAGTGATGGAGGTTGCATGAGGGATGGACAGAGGGACTGGGGGACTGGGGAAGGGATATGGCCACCAAGGGCTGCTACTGCTTCTCAAACGCCTCTTGGGGGCCCAGTAGCCTGGACTGTGGCTGAGACCAGCAGCTTGGAGGCTAAAGCCCTATCCTCAACTCCTCTCCTCTCCCTCTCTGTCTCTCTCATTCCCAGGCAATGGTTTCTTCCACACCTCCCTGCCCCCCAATTCCTCCCAACCCCTGAATCAGGCCCAAGACCTCCAACCTCTGGATGATTTGCAGCCCCTTAAAAACAGACTGAACAGTGGCCCAAGAAAATGGAAGGCAGATTTAGAACAGAGCAGGGCTCTCAGGTGAGGGGGGGAAAAAAGGGATTTCCGGGGGACTGGAGGGCATGTTGCTGTGTGACCTTGGGCAGTCAATGAAGCCCCTGAAGCTTTGGTTTTCTCATACATCAAATGGGGAGAGCAAGACCTGTCCAATTTGCTTCACAGGGCTGTGGTAAGGATCCAGCAAGAAATAATTTTTAAAGGCAAAAGGCTCACCTGAGGGCACCCACCTGGAGAAGGGAGGAAGTTGTGGGCCTTGCCAACCTGCTCTCTCTTCACCCACCCTGACCCGATGCCCACCCTCCATTCCCCGATTCCCTCCAGTCTACAGATAGAGAAACTGAGGCACAGAGAGGGCAAGCAACTTGCCTCAGGCCACACAGTGGCTCCGTGGTGGATCTGGGGACTAAGAACCCAGGGTTCACATGCCTTCCCTCGGACAGTGGTCCTGACTGCACTCCTGAGCTGGGAGCCGGAAACCCCTTCTCCCGGGCAGCCAAGAGTAGGCTGAGGCTGAGGCTGGGACTGGGGCTGGGGCAGGGGGAGGAAGGGGAGGAAAGAGAAACAGGGGAGAGGACAGAACTTCAGGCCAACCATGAAGATCTCTGGTCAGTAACCCCAGTGTATGAGGGGCAGAGCCTGGTGGGCTTCATGTGGGAGACAGGGCCGGGAGAGGAGGATGAGAAAGGTCTTCTGAAGGTGCACCTTCAGGGCCTTCTGGTTTCAGAGCAGTCCCAGTACTCTCCCAGCCCACAACAAAAGTGCCTTCCAGTCATGAAATCCTGACTTTCAATTTAATTCAACAAACATTTCTTAAGTGCCTACTGTGTGCAGAGCTTGGCGCTAGGCTTGGAGAGATGAGGGGACTGACTCACAGCATGGGGGCTTCCCCTGCCTGCTGGCCCTGGGCCCCATGCCCCTCCCCCTTCCCTTCCTGGTGATCTCCTCTCTGCTCACCTGTCATACAGGTCTTCCCTGTAGTAATCAGAGTCAAAGTCGTAGCCCCTGGGGAGACAAAGGGGAGACACTCAAGGGTTAGAGTCTCCCTCCTGCCCAATGGCTGGTGTGAGCTCATTATCATCACTGCCAAGCCTACATCCACCTCTCCTGGGATCAAAGCAACCCCTGAAGCAGGAAGGATAAGGGTCATCATTCCCAGCCTACAGATGAGGAAAGGCTGAGGGAGGAGAAGGAGGAAACCCTCAGAAAGTTATTAACTTTCCCAAGGTCATATGGCTGGCAGGTGGTGAAGCAGGGACCAAGGTGCAATGGAAAGAAGGTGGGACCTGGAATCGGACCTGGGTCCAAATCACAGCCCCACTCCTAGCAGGTGTATGGTCCTGGACCCACTTTGAGCCTTGGTCCCCTCCTTTTTGCACTATGTACCTCACAGGGGTTTTTGTGAGCAAAGTGCTCTGTGAACCTTAATCTGCTCTCTAAGTGGGAGCTGTTAATAATAGCAAGAGCTAGCATTTCAATAGGTTTGCACTTTCCACCTATTATTTCATTTGAACCTCAGAACAACCTCATGTCATTGTCATCCCCATTTGACAGCAGAGGAAGCTGAGGCTGAGAGAGGTTACAGAACCTGCCCAAGTAACGGGTGTCTGAGGCAAGATCTGAAGTATCTCAGGTCTCCTGACATCAAGGCCAGTGCCCCACTCTCCTGCCTAGCTGAGTTGTTAGTACAGGAGAGGCGACCCTGGGTTGACTCTGGCTCATGAGGGAGGGACACTGACACTGAGTTGCCTCCTGTCACTTTCTATGGACAAAATCCAGAAATGTGCCTGTTCCCCCAAATTGTGTGCTCAGGATGTTACCATCCATTCAGGATGGCATGGTGAGGAAAGCCCTGCATCTGGAATCAGGAAACTGGGTTCAAATCCTGCCTGTCACATGACCCTGGTCACTTGGTTAACTCATTTATAAAATGGTAGGTTGGATCAATAAACCACTAAGGTTCCTTCTGAGCTCCTGAACTCTGCTGTTCACTTGGTACAGCTGGTCCTTCTGCTTGGAAGGCCCAGTCTTTTTCCTCCCAGCTCCCATGGAATCCTCCCCCTTCAAGCCCAGCTCAGCCTTTCCTGATTAAGCAATCCCCAGTAATCTCTAGGCTCCTCTAGCCCTGCCTGGCCTTCTCATTTTGGTGCTAGATTATTGCCTTTTCTAACTGTGTACCGGGGTGAGGCAGGGGTCCAGTAAAAGCTAGTGATATTCAAGTGAAGAGCTGAAGCCCACCCCATTCCTCTGCCTCCTGAAAAGAGTGATACTGTCTAGGGATTTGTGGCTTAGTTAACAGCAGTAATGGATTGAAGGGACAGCCTGACTCACTGAGCCTACAAAGCTTATTTGGTGATTTAAATCTCTACTTTCCTTCATCCAGCAAAAGCTATGGAGAAACTGAGGCACCAGTGTCTCCCCCAGGGTTTGCTTACGAATGGCTGGATTTTTCTTGGCTTCCTTCCCCACCTGGAATAGCCACCTCACCTCACACCCTGCAACAATGAACTATGTCTTACCCCCAAGCCTGGTGGGGCTTCATCTAGGGGAGGGGTTCCTAAGACAATCCAGGTAGGATCCCACCTGGGCTAGGAGTGGGAACAGTGTGGTGTAATGGATAGAATGAAGAACCCAGACTCCATTCACTTCTGACACTTCTAGCTATGTGACCTTGAAGAGTCACTCATCTGAACTTTATTTTCTTTGTCTATAAAATGAGGATAATAATGGTGACACTGCCTACCTATGTGACCTCTGACAAGTCACTTAGCCTCTGGGAAATTCAGTTTCTTCATCCGTAAAACGGTGATAAGGCTATCTGTTTACCCCTGACTCACAGAGTTATTGGGAGATCACCTGCACCAAATGCGCTACAAACCTGAATAGTACAACATAAAGGAGCTCTGGCAAGCAGAGGAAGCCTAACCCTTCCTCCACTCGACAGCCCTTCAAGTACATGAAAATGAGCATCCTGGTGGCCCCCTTGGCCTCCTCTACAACTTGCCCTCACTGGCACAGGGTCCAGGCCCTTCGTCATGCTGGTGACCTATTTCTGCTCACACTGCAGTCTAGCAAAGTGTTTCTTCAAACGTGGCACCCAGCACTGAACATATGGCTCTTTGCGTGGGCCCTAACCCGTACAGATGGGTAAGACCATCGCCCGCTTCTTTCTGGACACTATCCCTCTCACTTCAGTCCATGCTGGAGTTAGTCCATTTCTCCCTGCAGAACCTCCTCTCTCCTCCCTGAGACTCTTCTGGGTTTGGGAGAATCCAGCCAAGGCCCTCAGGGAGGAGGAGAGGAACAAGATATGCACAGTGCCTGGCACACAGTAGGTACTTAATAAGTGTTGTCAGTGGTAGAGGGGGCCTTCAATCTCTGATTTCATAGTGTATATAAAGAAGATCCCAGGAAACAGTCTAGCAACGACTGTGCAACTAACACTCTTAGAAAGTTGCCTGGGAACGGTGAGAGGTAAGGGATTTGCTAGTCACTAGAGCCAATCTACATTAGAGACAAGACTAGAACCCAGTTCTTCCTGGCTCGAAGGCCAACTCTCTACTTCCTGGGCCACACTGCCTCTCAAGAGATGCTTGTTGAATTGAATTGAAGAAGGCACTGACCCCTGTAGGAGGTCACAAGGATCCAGGGACCCAAGTCCCCTGAGCCCCACCTGTCCAAGCCACCCCTTAACCCTCAGACCTTCAGTGCCAGCCCCAGATGTAACCCCCAGTTCCTGACCTGGGACACTGCACCAGCAGGCAAAGAGTCCCTCTGTCCGTAGGGCCTGGCCCCACAGACAGACAGAAAGACAGGCCAAAGGGCAAACACACGTACCCATAGGAGGCAGAAGCTGCTCTCTTGAGTCCTTTTGGTCTATTCGGTTTAGGTTCTCCAGCCATGTTGATGTCTATACAAAGAAGAAGTCAAGGCAGAGGATGGAGTGATAGCACCTACTTAACGCATGTGTGCGTGTGCACACACACCCACACCCACAGAGGCACATCACACCTACATACACAGACAGGGTCCTTCACTAGGATTAGAGATGACTTGACTGAATGGAGGCTGCCCTTGCCCAATGCCTCTGGTTCCCAGGCCACCGCCTTCACACATACAGGCATCACAAACTATATATAAACATTCACACACACACACACACACACACACACACACACACACACACACACAAAGTCATACTAAGGTATGGTTTTGCCCACATGCAAGAACTGTGTTCATGCGTAAAAGACAAACAAAAACACATTCAACACAGCCATGCTCACATACCAGATTCAAATCCACAAGTAACGGCACTCACACATTGAAGTCCCACCCAGACCAGCACATACCCAGGGTGCCTTTTCTGCTAGTAGGTGGCATTGAAGAGCTTGGCAAGGTGCCTACTTTTGCCCTCACCAGCCAAGGTTTTCTGCTGTGACACTCCGCTTACCCCTATTTCCACTCCCTGGGTAGGTACCATTCCTATCATCAGGTTCCCAGCTTCCTCTGCCTTGAATGGCACTCTGTACACTTGTCCTGGGTGACTGACTATTTACATACCCATGCCACAAAGGCAGATCCTGGGCAGGGGCATCTCAGGAGTAGAAAATAATCAACTGTAGCGGGGCTGATCAGGGAAGGGCCAGGACAGGCATCAATCGACTGGACAGAGGGGGAAGGCTGGCAGTTTGTTTTCGCTGCTCTGACATACTCATCTCCTGATTCTCAGGGCTCTCCTGTTCTCTTCCCCCTGCCTAACACCTAAGGTTGCACACAAGTAGTCACTGGATTGCTTCATTCAAGGGCATTTATAATTTTAATTCTAAGAATGTACATAATTAAAGGCTGAGTCTTTTAAAGGAATTTCAGGCACTGTAGGAGATGGAGGGAAAGGCCTCTCAGAAGACCTCAAAATCACAAATACCACAGGTAGTTTTTGCTTATTTCACCTATGAGTAAGGCCAGCACTGAGCTTGAGTAAGGGTGTGCAAGAGCCCAGACATTGATGGGGCAGGGGCCTAGTCCTTACCCAAAGTCTGCCCTGCCAGCACTCGCCCATTCTCGCCCAGCACGGCGGCACGGGCATGGCGCTCACTGGCATACTGGACGAAGGCGTAGCCCTTGTGCACAGAGCAGCCAGCTACACGGCCATACTTGGAGAAGATGGTCTCTACGTCTGCCTTCTTTACCATGGCTGTGTTTAAGTTCCCAATGAAGACCCTAGAGTTGAGGGACTTGGGGTCATTCTTGTTGGTGATGTTGCTCGTGTGCACTTTCAGAGACATGGTGACAACCTAGAAAGACAGAAACTCAGTGAGGTCATGACCCTGACTCACCTGCTAGTCTAGGCCTACATACTTCCCTGACTGGCAAAGAGTAAGAAAGGAGGGGCCACGATGGGTTCTGCTACCTTATTAATTTCCTTATCACAATGTTCCTTGAAACACCCCTGTGAGGTGAGTCCTAAACACAGGAAACCCTTCCTGAAACCCCAAGATGCCAGTGACTTTCCCCAAGTTACCTTGTATATATTTTGTACATATTTATACATGCACATGTCTCTCACAACAGAAAGTAAGCTTCCTGAGGCCTTCATTATCTTTCCCCAGAACCTGATACAGTGCCTGGCACACAAATGTTTGTTGACAGATGGATCCCCATTTCACAGATGAGGAAATGGGGACCCAGTGAGAAGAACTGACTTCCCTGAATCACACCATAAGAAACAGAGGTAGGATTTGAACCCAGGTCCTCTGCCTCTTTCCATTGCACCATGCTGCCTTTCACCTTGAGCCCACCCTTTGCCCAGGGCTGCCACCACCACAATGCCCTCTGCTTCTCCCACCAGAATGGGTATGTGCCAGGGAACACCTCCATGAGCTAGGTGTTCCCTGGTCTAGGCCAACATATCCAAGCACTGAGTTGAGCTCTGATAGAACCACCTGGTGCCCCTATGGCAGGAGTGTCAGATCCCTGGAGGCTTGTGAAGCAACCTTTAACCCCCAACTGGTTCCTGGCAGTCAGTCAGATGGGCCAGAAGAGAAAAAGAGCTTTCAGACAAGCTGTGGGGTCTTAGACTGAAGGGGGTCTTCAGCTTCTTGGGCCTTATGCAGCCAGAAAGGAAGCTCGGGGTCAGAGACCTGGGTGGAAGGGAGGTGTCTAGTAACAGTGGAGGAGACATAAAAAAATATCAAAGACCCTCCAGAAGTTAAAATACTAGTTGGGGAAATAAGACTTAAACACTTGAGAAGTCTGTTATTATTCCTACTAATCATAAAACTGAAAGTCTTGTCAATTCAGCCTTCATACTACCCTTTTATCTGTCCCTCCCCATTCACACAGCCACCCCCCCTAATTTCTGGACCTTAATACCTTTCTCCCCACTAGAGAAACAGCCTCCTAACAGGGCTCCCTGACCCAAGTCTCTCCCCATTCCAACCCTCAAGTGATTGTCCTAAAGCACAGGTCTGACCAGGTCACTCTACTGCTCAAGGGCTCCCGTGGCTCTACTATTCCTAGGAGCTAACCTAATTCTCTCTGGCACTGAAAGCCTTTCACAAGAGGCTCCAGCCCCCCTTTTCAGGATTATTACACACTACAATTCAGCCAAATTGGTCTGGTGACCAACCCTCACAAGCCTATTTTGTTGATGCCTTAAACAGGACATCTTCCTTACCTCCAATTCTAAGAATCTTAAGAGCACTGGGCCTGGAGTCAGGAGGAACTAAGGCTAAATCCAGCCTCAGACACTTACTAGCTGTGTGACCCTGGGCAAGTCATTTAGTCCCATTTGCCTCAATTTCCTCATCTGTAAAAAGAGCTGGAGAGGAAAATGGCAAACCACTTCAGTGTCTTTGCCAAGAAAATCCCAAATGAGGTCATGAAGGGTCAGACATGACCGAAATGACTGAACAATGAATGACCAAGGTTCAAGTCTGAGTTTCAGTACCAGCTATGGGACCCCAGGTAGATCAAGTAATGTCTTTGAGTCTCATTTTCTCCATCTGAAAAATGGGAATAATATCAACCTCACCAGCTTGCTGTGAAAAAAGAGCTTTGTAAGTCTAAGAAACTTTGATATTTTAAGGATCTGTGATTTCATAAGTAAGGGTACTCTCTCCACAAATACAGACTGCAACTCTGATCCAGTCTTCATGAGTTACTAAGACTGAAAAAAAACTCATCTTTTGGTCAACTCTCTAGTGCTGAGCCTTTCAACTCAGGTAGGATAGCTAAGAATAACTGCCACACGTTCTGTCCCTGAGATTGTCTCTGAAGACCGCAATTTGGTAGGACCTTCCTGAGGTAGGAAGCCTTGGGAACCCAGGGTCATCAGAGGAGGACTTACGGCAGAGCAATGTTATCATGATTATCCTTCAAAGCAGCACTACTAGCCTCTCCCTGCCTCAAAACCCTTTCTCAGAAACCCAGTCTCCGTGGTTACAGGTACCCAACCCTGGGAAACATCATCATTGGTTCCATCAGAGCCTGGTGAGCCTCTTGATTTGCTACTCCCTCCTGCCCTGCCTCAGCTGGTTTTGCCTCCCAAACGGGCTGCAGAATGTAGGAGGGAGAACCACGCCAGGTGCCTGCAGTCCATTCTGCTCAGTGGCCATCACGGGCTGTTACAGAGGAGGTGCGGAGGAGGAAGAAGAAAGCTATGAAAAGAGTGAGAGAGTCCTTCGGGGACAGAAATAGTCAGACTTGCCACTAGAGTCGACTGATCGAAGAATGTCTGGGCTGAAAGGGACATGAGGAGAGAATCTGAGAATGTTAGATAAGGAAACCGAAGTCCAGGGAGAGGGAAGGATTTGGCTCCAGGTCAGACAACGAGGAAGTGGCAGAGCAGGGACTGGAACCCAAATCAGGCTTGAGAAGGACACAATCAGAAAAACGGAGACAGGCAGAGAGACTGACAGATGGAAACAGAATCAGAGACATATTGAGAGGGTCAGAGGTGAACAAACAGAACTGTCAAAACAGAGACAGATGGACAGCTGAGAGACACAGACAAGAAGAGGCTCGCAGGATTAGAGACTGAGAGCTGGAAACACCTTCGAGGTATTTAGTTCAATCCCCTCCTTTTCCAGAAGAGGAAACTGAGGCACAGACATGTCAAGTGACTTGCCCCGGGTAGCACAGGTCATAAGGGTCAGAGCCAGGATGTGAACAGAAGTCCCCTTACTCCAAATCCAGGGTTCTTTCCCCTGCACCCCATACTGAGAATTGCATTAGCTGAACTTATAAGGGATTTCCATGTTATCTCATCTGATCCTCTCAGCCTCACGGTGAAGTAAGTCCTATTCTGGGGGAGGTGATTTCATCAGGGTTGGGAACTCCCTGGTGTGGAAACTCCACAGATCAACACCACCTCTGTGGCCTGAGAAGCTTGGAGAGCTGCCTGGGGGCGCTGAGAGCTGAAGAGACTGGTGTGTGATGGGGAAGCAAAGATGTGTCAGAGGCCTCCAAGGCTGGCCCCTCTATCCACTACACCACACTGCCCTCCACTGCTATCATTCTCTCCATTTTATGAATGAGGAAACCGCAGCCCAGAGAGGCTGTGACTGGCACATGATCACACAGCCAGCGTCCGAGGCGGACTTCAAGCCCCGTCCTTTCCCAACTCCCCATCTCCTCCACGCTCCACGACATTTTGCTGCCACTTGGTTGGATTGCCTGAGCCAGGCCACTGAAGCTCCTTTCCGGTGTCTTTCCAGGGCAATGGAGGCATCCTTACAGTGCTCTGGGCAGTGGGGGGCAATTGGGGCAGGGAGAGTCAGAAAGACCTCACGGAGGAAGGAGCACTAAAGAAAGCCAGTGATTCCAATAGCTAAGGGTGCCCAGAGTCCATTCCAGGCATGGGAAACAGACTGTGCAGAGGCACAGAGGTGGGAGTTGGAGTGTCCTTTGAAGGACAGCCACTAGACAAGTTTGGCTGAACCGGACCTTAAGCTGATTTACACTTCCACAGGACAAATGGTTTGAAATATAATTTACAGCTCAAAGGACACAGCCCATTTCTGCTACCAAAAACAGACCCATTTTCTCACTTGAAATATTTTAGCCATTTTGATGGCAATAATCACCACCCTGTGAAAAATGAATGGGGTTTAGTAAGTCAGAGAAGTGGCAGAGGGTAATGTGCTGCTCTTGGTACACACACAGAGATACACAGCAATGCTCTCCTGGGAGGGCCTGTTTCAGTGGCAGAGACGGCGAAGAGCCATCTATAGCAGAAGTGTCACTCATTTGGTCAGCACCGCTGCAGATCCAGATTAAAATGTAACTCAGAAATATTTAACCAAAGGAGAAAAAAAAAGAGACAGTACAACATAAATAATGTTAATTTGTGGTTTTCTAAGTCAACATGGGGCCTGCAAGGGCTCACTTTGTACAGTTTAGTTTATACCACTGATTTACATCACCTCCTCCATCCCTCCCCCCACCTCAATCCTATAAGCTGTAATGCAAAGCTCCTAACATGACCAATCCTTTATGTCAAGGTCAAAATCCGCTCATAGAGACAGATTTCATCATGTCCCACATCCTTTAATTCCCCCTCTCCTACATCCCTATGCCTTTTTGAAAAAAAAAAAATTAACATTTCTATTTTCACATCACCTTTATTCCCCCACCCCCACTTTATAACAACGAACAAGAAGGGAAAATGCTATTCAGCAAAACTAACCATATCTTTCAAATCTGGCACCATACGCAGTGTTCTACGTCCACAGCTCTCCACCCCATCCATACCCAACATTTGGAAGAAGGCAGGGAGATGCAGTCTTATAGCTCTTCTTTGGGTCCAAGCTTGGTCATTACAATTACACAGCATTTAGTTTCAATCCCTGCCCCACCCCCCATCCTTCTTGTTCTTTCCATTCACACTGCTGTAACCATCGTGCATATTTTTCCTGGCTCTGCTTACTGTACTTTTTATTAGTTGGTCTATATCTTCCCTCTTTTCTCTGTATTCTTCATAGTCTCTATTTTTTACAGCCCAGCACTATTCATGTCCCATGTTTACTTAGCCAGCCCCCAATAGGGGGGTCACCTACTTTGTTTCCACAAAAAGTGCTGCTCTAAGTATTCTGATGTGTATGGAAAGGGGCTTCTCTTTTCTAATCTTTCACCACCCTGGGGTATATACCTAGCAATGGGATTGGTAGGTAAAAGGAAATAAGCACTTCCTTCATTTAATTCCAAATGCCTTTCAGAATCCTTGAATCAATTCATAGCTTCACCAACAGTGTAGTAATGTGCCTGCCTTTCCACAACATCGAGAACACCATTT